AGTTATACTGAAATGTCTGGAATTTGTTATTTGTCACTTTTAATTCTCAAATATAAGACATTTGTGAAAGATTCACTCTTAACTGTGCATTATTTTTTCAAATCCTCACTTTTTTTTGTGATTTTCTGAACTAAGAAATAAGGACAAAAGGATAGGTGTTTATTTATGCATGCCAAGTGCTGAGATAAGGAAGCAGATAGAAACTCCTTCATGTACCCCTAGACAACTGCCGACTGCAAAATTTGATTTTACAATGTTACTAAACTTTTTCTTCACTAAACAAGATAAGATAAGCAATGAGCCAACATGAATAGGCTCCTGTATGTAAAGAAATTGCCTTAACAGGGGCCAGCCCCAAAGCTAAGTGGTTAAGTTCACACAGTCTGCTTTGCTGGCCCAGGGTTTCACCAGTTCGAATCCCGTGTACAGACACGACACCGCTTGTCAGGTCATGCTGAGGCGGCATCCCACATGCCACAACCAGAGGCACTCACAATTAGAATATACAACTACTGGGGGGCTTTGGGGAGAAGAAAGAAAAAAGAAAATTGGCAACAGATGTTAGCTCAGATGCCAATCTTTAAAAAAAAAAAAAGAAATTGCCTTAAAATAAATAAGCCGATGAAAAGTCAGTCCTGGCATCTCACATAACCTTCTAGGGCAGATGGGCCAATGAGGCTCAGGCCATGCTACTGTCAGGGAGGACAACATTCCCTCTGCCCGCTCTGGGTCCTTCTGGCCAGACAGCAAATTAAATTCACATGAGATGGAATAACAGGAGAAAATTAAACAAAGCTTTATAACATGTATACATGGGAGAGGCTCAGGCAAGCTGAGTAACTCACCAAAATGGCGGAAGCTCTCACCTTAAATACCATCCTCAGCTAAAGACAGAGGAGGATGTTGGGGGTAGGGGGAGTCAGTTACTGGAGATTACCAGAAAAACACAATAAATAAGAGTAAGGTTATTATGAAGATTTAAGTCCTTGCCTTCTGCATTGATAAGAGTTTCTAGAGATAAGGTCATCCTCCCTTCTTCCTGATACAGAGAGGGAAACGCTTTTACAGATGGAGATTTCCCTTACAAATGTAAATGTCTCTTCACAAAGAGTAACTTCTACTTTTAGAGTTTCTCTCTTATCTGCAGTTTTTAAAAGTAACTAGCCCAAAATAATCCTCATGCCAAAGGGACATATCTTGGGGTGGCCAATTCCAGTCCCCACACTACCTAGCAGAGGGATAGGGCTGGGAAATGCTGTGAGAAGATTCAGTTCTCAACCCAGGATGGGAGAGCTTCCATACACATGGGTTTATTCAGAGAACTGTGAGATCCCCCACTTCTAAAACAACTGGATAGGGAGGCCCAATTTGAGAGATGCCAGTGAATGGTCTAAAAAGAATTATTTGCACATTATCTATTGTCAGCTTCATCTATCTAGAAGGAACATGCCCAGATCACAAGAGCATTTCATTGTGGTTCCAAAGTGGACACTTCCTCTTTATTTGACCACCCCATACAAACCATTATGCCTCTTTCCTTCCATCTATCATTTATGGGGTACTTTTTATGAGAAGGCACTCTGCCAAGAACTAAAACACATTCTTTTATTTAATGTCTCACAAAAACTTAGGTAGTAGATACTAATGTAATCCCATTTAAAGAGGAGGAAAGTCAAATTAGAAAGGCTATGTAATGTGTCCAAATTTACCCTGATAGTAAATCTCAGGGGGGAAACTTAATCCCCAGACTTTTTGATTTGAGCTCATGCTCTTAACCAGACTCATTTAGTCATTATCATTGACCCTAAAAGGAGGTGGAATTTATCCTAGACGTAAAGCTGAGGAAACTGAGGCCATGAGAGGACGGTGATGTTCCTGAGTCTGGAGAATTCAGAGGTCATGCAGAGAGCAGTAGTTCCTCCTGCCCTCCCCTTCCTGCCAGTCTTTTCCTGACCTCCCGTCCTTCGTGACACTGACTGAACTACTCACTGATTCCTTCACATTCAGTGGCTGCTCAGAAATATGTTCTTTTTAAGGGAAAATAACACTGTAGCAAACATTTACAAAACTATCTGCATTGTGTCGCTGTTCATGTTTGCTTTATCTTACAAGTTGTTCAAATTTATTCCTCAATTTTAGCCAATTCTTTTATTTTTCTTCTTGGAACATGGTGGGCCACCTTTCTATTTTGCTCATTCCGATGTCTGCTGAGTGTGGGTCCTTAGATGCTGGCTTCTTCATATATGACCTAGAGAACTGTTGTGTACAACCACTTAATCTACTTAAACACTTCACCATCTTTTTTTTTTTTTTAAGGTTTTTATTTTTTTCCTTGTTCTCCCCAAATCTCCCCGGTACATAGTTGTATGTTCTTAGTTGTGGGTCCTTCTAGTTGTGGCATGTGAGACGCTGCCTCAGCGTGGTTTGATGAGCAGTGCCATGTCCGCGCCCAGGATTCAAACTGACGAAACACTGGGCTGCCTGCAGCGGAGCGTGCGAACTTAACCACTCGGCCACGGGGCCGGCCCCACTTCACCATCTTTATATCTTCCGGATCCTATTTTGTTTGCTTATTTGTGTGTTTGGTGTTGTACCTTCAGACGTTTTAGTTGTAAGTAACTACTTGTTTGATTTCATCAGAAAAGGAAGCAATTGAAAGAATAGTGGGTAGTTCACATAATCTCTGGGAAAGCAGGAGACCTCTGGGCAGGCTCAGACAAATTGAAAGTCTAGTCAGCTAGACCTGGAGCTGAAGACACTGCTGCTGCTGCCACTCAGCACAAGACACCTGCCCCCACAGGCTGCTGGCCGCATGGCAGTGTGGCTTCTGAAACCTGGATGGAGCTGCTGCTGGTCCTGCTGCAGTGACTATGAACATGTTAAGTACAAAGACTGTGGTGCTGGAGGAAATATAACGGAATCCAGAAAACTTTTCTGTTCTTCTGGGGAATACACAGTAACAAATGAAGCCCACAGAACATGTTCCCTTATTCACTAGGTGAGGGGTCAGCACACTTTTTTGATAAAGGTCAAACAGTAAGTATTTTAGGCATTGCAGGACATATAGTTTGTATCACAACTACTCAACTATCTTTAGAGTACAAATACAGGCATCATCAATACATAAATGGATGGGTACGGTTGTGGGATAATAAAATTTTATATTTGAACACTGAAATTAGAATTTCATATAATTTCTACATGTCATGAAATAGTCTTTTTATTTTTAGCCATACAGAAACAGCAATGGGCCAGATTTGACCTGCAAGCGTAGACTGCGATACCTGCATTAGAGCATTAAAATCCTTCACTATGGCGGGGAACTTTAAATGCATTTTTGTGAAATACAAATATACTCACACTTTTGGCCCAAACTTCTGTGTCATTAGTGCTCCAATCTTGGCCCTCCAAAGTCTGTGATTAAGTGTATAGATACTAACCTCAAGTTAGCTTTATTTTCAAATATTTAGAAGTTTGCTTTTGGTTTAAACAATTAGTGTTCAATTTATTAAAGTTATAAATTTTAGAAAGGAGTTCTTTAGGTTATTAAATTCAGCCAGAAAATCATTTTTCTTCTGTTTACAAGTATAGTATATTTCAAAAATCACTTTCTAGGGAGTTTGGTTCCATTTTACAAAATTAAAGAAACACCTTCAAGTGTTTCACAACATATTCCATTGGACTGAGTTTGCCCATCCAGGAAGAACACAGGCGTCACTCCGGTTAATTGAAGCTATTCACAATCAGATTTCAGCTGAGTGTGAGACCTGGAGCTGCAGACACGCATGCTGAATATTCTCAAAGACGAGCCATTTGTAAAATAATTATCACATCTTCAGCTTCAACCGCCAAAGGGTGATTATCTAATCACAGGAGCATATAACTCTATCTAGGTTGATCAATGGAATGGAATTTGATTGATTATCTGTTGTTCTTAAAATGTATGCCTGTATTTACCCATTTATCTTTAATGACCCTTAAAAGGATAAAGGGATCCTAGGGTTTATTTTTAACCTAATGACAGACTTTTGAATATCATGAAATATTACATTCTTTCATATATTAACTATCAATAAGAACAATTATTATGACATTCTAATTGAATTTTGGATAGCTCACGTTGGTTCATCTGACTGGTGGTTAATATCCTGAAGTCATTCCATTAAAGCTAGCTAAGACACACAGTGAGATATAATGCTCAGAGGTCTGCTTTCAGGGTAGCTTTTCCTTTCCTTTGTACTTTAGCGCCCCCTGTGGCTACTGCCAATCTATCACACAGAGTCATCAGTGATTCAGACTCAGTTTCTCCCCCCATCTCAGTCAAATGGTCATAGGGAACACCCTGAAACCACAGCTGTGCACTAAGGGAGAACCAGCAGTGCGGCAGAATGGACACATGGAAGAGCCTGCTTATGCAAACTACTTTACACATACTGAAGCCCTCCCTACTGAAGGGATGCTGGTTGTAATCAAGTTTATGACTAAGTGGATATGATAACTGATGAACCACAAGTTTATCCTTTGTCCTGTAGCTAACTCTTTAGCATATGTGAGGTAGTTGCAGTAAGCCAAGGTATATTTCTGAGGAGCAGAATAGTTATTTACCAATAAAGTTTGATATTATTTCAAAACACTGAGGCCTTCCTCTGTGATTCTCCTATTGTGTTTGCTACAGATTCTATGCAACATCATGATCAGCCACAGAGTTTTCAACTACCATAAGATCCAGTGGGTCATATAGGATGAGTTGCCATAGATTATAGTGCAGGCTGGACCCATTAAAAATCCTCCTTATCCAATCAAAGCTAGCAACACTTTAGGACACTAGGTAAATTACTATAAGCAATACACTCAAACCTAGTATGTGCTGCACACAAAGATATCAATGTAATGTTGTTTCTCTTCCTTTGAAGCAGAACCAGTCACTCACTTTAGTAGTGTTATCTTCGTGTGCCCCATTAAAGTGAACAGTAGAAACTTTACTGAAAAAGCCTTACCAAGGCAACACTATTCCTGCTACTTCTTCTCTCCAGGTCCTATGATCAGTGTGTTATTAAAATGGTGAGCCAACATGATGCCTTGTCATGGGATACTGAGATTTTGATGTCACTGCAAACTAAATTGTGGCACAGAAACAGGTGGTAGTTGTGATCCAAGACATGATGGTGAAGGTATATTGCTGCTCCTATTGGGTGAAAACAAATTACTTTTAAAGTTCAAGTCTTCCTGGAATAGAGAAAAAATTGGTAAGATCAATGATTTCATTTTAGGTGTCTAAGATAATATTGATTTGTTCCAACAAGAATACCACATTTGGCACAAGGTTAGCAATTAAAGTCACCATCAGATTAGGTTTCAAATCATCTATCATCATTCCCCATGGCTCATTTATCTTCTGTAATCCGCAAACTGGAGAATTAAATGTCAATGTAATACAAATAATCACATCTGAATCTTTAAAGCTTTTGAAGATTACACTAATATATGCCATTCCCTCAGGAATGTGATACTACTTTTTCATTTATTATGTGGTAAAAAGGGAAATCTAGGGACTTCTAGGATCTTCCAGTCTTTATTTACCTTGATTCTTTGCTTTATTCACCTATGCAACCAACGTGGTGATACTGATTTTGCCACTTTCTGAGGAGATACACATATCCAGTTCTGGATTTTTGATTATATATGTATACTTATTACATCAACAACAGAATGAGGCCCAGAGGGATGTTGTTACAGGACAGGCTATCTATTCTTTATGGCCATTGGTTATAGCATTAGAATCTTCCTAGTGATAGGAGATTGGTTAAAATTTGGGGGACTAGCTTAAGTTTCCTTTATGATTTACAAGAAATAACCTATAGCTAGATTTAGATTTGCTTACACGGCTTAGATTGTTTTGTCTGCTCATGGAATTTTCAAGTCTGGTCTCCAGGTTGTATTTAAATTTAAATATATATATTTATATATATTTATATACGCATGTATATATATAGCAGCCATGTACTCAGAAACTGAAAGAATGGTCATCCCTATGGGGATCTTTGGAGAAAATGATTCACAGTATGTATTTGTAATGTTATAGCAAGGACTTTCCTCAAGAATACCTGGTCACTCTTTCAAGGTCTAAGAATTTGTAAAGAAACTCAGGTCTTAGAATCAGGTGAACAGCCAGGAATTGCAAGCATTAGGACTTAAGACACATGTCTTTTTCCCACAAGTTGAAAATTAGATATGACCTTAATGTCCTGAACATCTACCATAATCCTAGGGATCCCAGTGATCCCTAGGATCAATTATTCCATCAGTTTGTGCCCTTTTGATATGCCCTGCTAAGCACCGTGTTAATCAATAAGCGAATACTGATAAGGACACTCTGTGGAAGTATGCAGAAGTGAGCTTAATTTTTTTCAAGATGGAAAATCTGTAAAGACATTTGTAAAAGTGAAGCAATATTCACATCTGAAAATATAAAGCAGGAAATCTTATAGTTGAATAAAAATAATGTTAGAATATGGTAAAATGCATATAAAGCATTAAACATGGGTAAATTACACGTTGGGTGATAATCCTTGTAATGGGTGGAATAGGGGATCTATTTTGTGGACATGTAGTTTGTGTTGCAATCTTCATTAATGCCATTCTAATGGATTTGCTATGTTCTTGTTTCTTTGCATCAGTAACTTCCAATTCAAAATCCTGGATGATTGTTTCTAACTGGCCAAGGCTAGATTAAAGCTCTTGCCCATGCTACAAAGGGTCCATGTGCATGTATGTGCGGCAGGGGAACACAGAGGGGACTTGAAAATCAAAGCATCTTTCTGTTGGTTATAACAGGTGATGACCTCTCTTTTCCTTTTTTTTTTGGTGAAGGAGATTGGCCCTAAGTGAACATCTGTTGCCAGTCTTTGTTTTGCTTAAGGAAGATTGTCCCTTAGCTAACACGTGTGCCAATCTTCCTCTATTTTGTATGTGGGATGCCACCACAGTGTGGCTCAATGACCGGGATCTGAACCCATGAACCTCGTGCTGCGGAAGCGGAAGCACACGAACTTAACCACTATGCTGCCAGTCCAGCCCCTGGTGAGCTCTCTTTTCTATAATAAACCTCTAGAATGTAAGTTCAACGAGAGCAGTGACCTTGCCTATCTTGTTCTCACTGCACATCCAGTCCAATGCTCACATAGTTAGCATTCAAATATTTGTTAAATTAATTAATGTCTAAGTGAACAAATGGCAATTGCATAAATACATTAAGGATTTTCAGACACAGGCAGCCAGAAAACTGACAACTTCTACATGATGTTTTCACTGTTGTTGTTTTTCCTACCTTAAGCGGTCTTCAGTTCTTCTGCATTTACCTATACTACCTCTCTCTATCTCACTCTGTCCTAGCTCAGTAGACAAAAAGAAGGGGGGCTGGATATTTTGGCATTATAAATTCATAAAGACTTCTTGCTCTAGAAATTACAGTGGGTATAAAGCATCTACTCATATGATTTTTTAAAAATAGAAATAAATATGATCTTTCATAATTTTTAAATAGGAAATTTTTCTCCTAGAAATCACTCCTAGCCCTCAATAAGTATGAATAATAATAAAACAGCATCTCAATATATAGCATCCATACGAATTTGGTACATTTATTTTTTAGTTAATTATAAACAATTTAATCAAATATTAATTCTTTATATACTATCAATTGCATGAATATGTCTCAAATTTGTATTATGTTCAAGCAGTAAAATCTTTTTATGCATATTTTTTCTTGTTTATTCTGTTTTGTAATAAAAAGGGAATATACAAATTATTTAAATAACTTAAAGTAGGGAACAGATACTTAAAATATTATAGGAAATTTTTAAAAAATAAAGTCAGAATCCAGTTGAGAACTCTGAGATAGCATGTGATAAATATTCAATGACTAAGTTGTCTATTACTCAGTTTTTAGCACTGTCACTGTTAAGGTGTACAATTTAACTTTGCAGATTATCCCTACAATTTGCTCAGTCCATAGTGGCTACCCACTCCACTTATATAAGTTACTGAGGGTAAAGAACAGAGCACATACTTTACATTGTCTTATTTCTATTGACCCACGAAGGAGGTAGATGGCAGAAGCTGAAAACAATTGGGTTTCCTAAGAAACCTATAGTAATACCATATGCTAAGTGAGTCAATATCATTCCACTAAGGTAAGACATGTTCTTGTCTCCATTTTCTCCTCCCCACAGAAATACAGTAAGATCTATGTCATTCCTTGATAAGATAAGTAGTTGATGAAGAAATACCTATCTGAGTCTCAGTTTCTGGAAGCAGAAATAGAGGGTCAGAAGAAAGTTCAATTAAGATTAATGAAGTTCTCTCCTAATTCTGTGCAAATGTCGTTGCTGTTGTTCCCTATAGTTCTGGATGTCATTCTTTGCATAGACTTTTAGTAACAGGCAAAATATAAAATCAGCCTTTTCTATTTTAACATTTCATTTTTAAGAAAACATAATATGAAACTGTCCCTAAACTATAACAATGATAACAAATAGCATTTATTTATTTACTATGAGTGTTTATTGTGCTAAATTCTTTGAAAGGATTTTCTCACTTAACACTCACAATACTGAGGTAGGTACTATTTTCCCTGTTTTGCGTATACAAAATCTGAACATCACAGAGTTGGTATCACATTAGGTAATAATGCCTAATACCACACAACTTATAATTGATAAATCCAAGTTTCAAATATAGTCACTCTGACTCTAAAGCTATTTCTATTTGGAGATTTAACTTTTGAAAGCATAATATAAGCAATTTTGGCTCACCCCAGCCTGTGCCTAGTCACATCAAATTACTTTAGCATCCCCCTTTAGAAAGCAAGATTACTAGCCTACACTATATTCTATGAGTTCCTGAAGATCATTGATGTCCAAACACTTTTGTCTTGTTTGTTGTATTATTTTTTAAAGAAAAGGCACAGAGGCATTTAACTAAGCCATGTTAAGGGGATTTCAGAGTTCATGTGTAATCTCTCAATGCTAATTGAATAACTTTTATTTTTCAAAGTAACATTTATGAATGGTACACCTCCAAAAGGTACTTAAGATGATTCAAATGGTACATATCATCTATGGCACTACATTATCGCGCCATGTGTTCAGCCAATAAATAAGACAACATATGTAGTCAGATAAGATGAATTCTCACTTCAGAATAATCACTAACAATTGTAAAGCACTTGGGTACTCATGATAATCCTATGACACGTGTAGTATTAATATTACACTTTTATGAAGTTGAATCTGAGACTAACTTGCCCACTATTAGGAAAACAATAAGTGGTCAAGGAAGGGCTTCAAGCCTTTTCTTATAAAACCCCATGCTTTACACATAGCAGGATGCAGTACACTTCAGAGAGCAGAGACTGTGCTCAAATAAATAAGTACTGAACTCCCTATCACAGGGTGTGTCCAAATTATAGGCAGAACACCTCCTTTTCAGAGGGGTGGGACTACCGCTATTGATAGACCAGTTTCTAAAGTGCCACTTGACTCGGAGAGGCTGAGTTAGGTTAAATCCAACACCTTTGTGAGTCACAGCCATCTCAGTCCCAGCTGCCTGTTCCACGTCTTTGCTGCTCAGGTGATGGCATGGAGACTGCAAGCTCGATGTAACGTAGTGGATCTTCACATAAAAGAGCGGCTTACATTTTGCTATTATGCTTTAGAGTTTTTAATGTACTTTTACAAACGTCATTTCATGTCCTTTTTGCCACAACCCTGTGCGGCAGAGAACACAGCTGTCTTAATTTCTGTATAATACATTTGAAAAGTAAGTCACCGCAAGGAAGAAAGTGGCTTGGCCATATTTCCATAATTAACAATTCATGGAACTGGGCTAGCCTTCAGCTCTTTTTCCCATGTTTTCTGCCTTTGAGATTTGTCCCTGATACAATCTCCCTCCTTCTCCCCTTAACTTTTCCAGGAATGGAAGAGAAATGTCTTTTAAAGCTACATTTCTCTTGAAATGTCCAGGGCCTATTAAGTGTCACTTTGTTATCTATAATTTTCTGCTTGCTCTAAACCAGGAAAATGCAAACATTAACCAGGTAATGAACTGTTTTATCTCTGATGCCAAATAGTCTATGTTCTATTTGCCTCCTTTTAAATTTGCTGCTTCAGTGCTTTGTGGAGAGAC